AAACCTTTCTTTCCCCTCAGAATATAAATTCTCATTATTTAGAAAATTTGTTTATATGAACTATCTAATATACCGATGATGAAAGATAATGAAGTGCTACTATTTTGTTTTTAAAGTTTGAGTAGTATTTGCAATTAATTAGTGCCTCACAGCTTATCAAATACGCTCTGGTAAACAGTTATGTTTTATGTTTTGTGAAATGTATCTTCATGGCAAGCATTGTACTTGAGATTATTCTGACCATGCTTATTGTCTGTTTATTAGGCAGGTTTACCTTCCCATCCCTCCCTTAAACACTCAGCACTGCTCATGCACACTTATAGGCCCAAGATATATTTTTCTCCTTGAAGGTGTTCTCTTTTTGCTCTCCTTAAAATAACTTGACCATTTACTTGATCTTTTCTACCTGACCAGAATAGCTGTGCATTGGTGTCTCCATTAAATATTTTATCTGCATGGATCCTTCATAGCTGTCAGCAACTTCTAGACTTATAGATGGTGTCATATTGTTCAACAGTTAGTTTTGCTGTTTAATATGGTCTTGTGGATGATTCACATGCATAGCTCTTAAGGAGAAAGTCCTTGAGGTCAATAACTGGAGTCCTTACTCCTTCACTATACTCCAAAGCTGTCATATTTTGAAAAGTAAGTAGATATTTGATGTAGCTACATGGATTTTTTAATACAGCAAATCCTAATCCCCACAGATTCAAATAGCCCTTTCAGTAAAGGGATTAAATCATTTCCATTAGGTATTTCTCTAAAGAATAAAGAACAAATTTTTCATGACCCTATGTCAGCACTTAATTACTAGAATGAGGGAGTAGAAATTCAAGGTCTCAAAGTAAGAATTAAGGTCTAATGAAACATTCAAGAGTAAGAGGTGTGTCATAGTCTACTAGGATAAAACAATTTATTGTTTTTGAGTGATGTTAACCCTCTTGAAATATAACTCCCCAATCCTTGAAACTCATTCCATTTATAAACCATTTTTATTTTGAGCAGTTTGTCAGAGTTTTACAAAAATGAGAATCATCTTGGTTTGCTCCCCAGGGTGATGGCACAAGGTATAATAAATATGGACAAAGATAAAAGAAACTCAGGGACCTAGTGTTGTCTAGGAATTAAGAAAGGCTTTAGAATTGTTGGATGTACTCTGAGAAAAATTGTTCAGCTGATTCGAGCTAAGTGCCTCTCAGAAGTTCTGCACTGTGTTCCATTACTCTTACTTTCTCTCATAACCTTCTTCCCAATTCTGGCTAGAACTGGCTTTTCTAGGGTCTAGACCTGCCCACTTCAAACTCCCCCGCACCACCAAATTATCGTTCTGACCCTCACTGCAACTACTTGGCAATGAAATGATATTGGTTACATAGCAACCTTTGAGAAGAAAGCTAAATTCCTGAACCTAATACAAAACAAAATCATAGAATAAAGCTTAGAAGGTCTATTGCAAAACACAGTGAGATTCTGAATCAAAACATATGGATTTTTGGGGCTGGGGATTTAGCTCAGCGGCAAAGCGCCTGCCTGGCAAGCGCAAGGTCATGAGTTCGGTTCCCAGTACCGGAGAAAAACCAAAAAAAAACAACAACAACAACAAAAAAAAAAAACATATGGATTTTTGTCTCTTAACTGTAACAAGTCATGTGAACAAATTTTTAAATGTATGGAAGCTTCAGTTGACGTAGAAATGAGTAAATAACAGAGAAGATCCTCGTTTGAATTCAATAAATTGACATATGTAAAGCAGATGGCCCAGAACTTGCAAATACATCATTGGTGTCATTATTATCAAAAGGAATATGCCTAGATAAAATATAAATGTTGAAATAGAGTCCTGCCTATTCACTGCTTATTAATCAATTAATTTATTTATTTATTCATTTATTTATTTGGGCTGAAGGCTATGAGAGGTTCCATAACGGATTAGAGATCCAAGTACCTACTCTACCAAACACGCAAAGAAAGAGTTTTAGTCATTGGGACTCTTGATTTTAATGCTGTCTGTGTGTAGACTAAAGAAGACTTGCATAATGAGAATCCCAGACTCCACCTCTCAACTCTAAGCAAAAGCACAAACATGGTTTTCTTCAGGGTGTTAGACAGTTAACTTTAGTAGTCTAGAGAACCTCATAGAATTGCTTGCAGCTGTACACCATGCCCATGTCAGCATCTTTGCTTTTGTTTGTTTCTTTACATAAAGAAAGAGTCTTAACCTTTCAAATATTCCTGTAACAAAAACAGTACATGTGATTTGTGTTTTGGTCTTAATTTTGTCAGTAACTGCAATAGTTTCATAAAGTCATTTTCTATCAATTTATGCATTTCTCAAATATCCTCCTTCTTCAAATGCTTGCCTTACAACCACAGTGGCAGTTATAGCATTAAAGCACAGTGAGAATTGAAATCATTTTGCAAAAAACAAATCACTCTGCAATTTTAAGAATAATTATTTCCATCACAAACACCAGAGCCAGAAGCCAAATTTGCACATCAACACTTCATTACAGAGTGAACATTTTTACAAAGGATGTAATTTATGTTTTCATGGTGTTTGCACATTCTGTGACTATCAAGTTTACTTTCTCTTATCTAAAAAAAGTTTGTCAAATATGAAAAATTACTTAGTTTAATGTGTTTCTTTTTGGTGTTTGTTCCAATGACATTTTTGTTTTGTTTTTGTTTTTGGTTTTTCTCTGGTACCGGGAAACGAACTCACGACCTTGCGCTTGCCAGGCAGGCGTTTTGCCGCTGAGCTAAATCCCCAGCCCCCCCCAATGACATTTTTGATGCTTTTGTGTGTATGTGATTCACTTCACAGATAATGAGAAAGGAACATCTAATTATGGAAGCTGAGATAGGACTCCCATTGGACATGCTTTTGTGAGATAGCAGAGGTCACTGCTGAGCCTAGGAAAGTAGGGCTTGGAGAATGTAGAGAATGCAAACGTCATCAGCTTTTGGAATCATAAAAAATGGTCATTCTGGAGAGAATCTGAACTGAAATAGTTTCCTTAATGTCTTCACATGCACTAGCTTTCCCCAGTCATTTATAGCTGGCCTGAATAGAGATCAATCAGAGATTTATTTCTCCAGGAATTCTTAGAAGTGCAATAAAAGTAGCCCCATAATCACTAATGCTTCACTTGTTACAGTGCTGTTTCATGCTTCTTTCTAGAAACCCTAAGGAAAGTAAAACATTACCACTCTTCAAAGGAGTATTTGAAAGGTCCAGCCACTAAGCCTAGCCCTCCTTTCTTCAGAGTACCTGAGAATAGATTTATATTTAACTGTTGAGATGAACTTGCATTCATAACCCTTAGAAAGGCACATATATCATACTAAATAATCTTTGGGCAGAAGGGAAACAACAAAATAAGGCAACAGAACAGGTGCAGAGGAGGCAAGCAGATGTTATAGAAAATATTATAACCTCCAATACAATAGTTACCTGACACCTTAGGATCCCTAGATTACCATGTAAAATATATAAATATCTCTCATAAAAATATATTGGAACAAATCATAGGAATATGTTCCTTTGTTAAGCATAACTTTATAAATGTTGGCTAAATATGAGAACTTTTTACTTTAAGGAATCATATAAAGTACTAAATGTGAAAATTAGGATTAATAAACCACATAACATAGGAAAAAATTCTATTGGCTTCCAAGATTCCTGCCTTAGCAAAAGGTCTTATTAGCAGACTGCATTAAATGGGTTAGAAATTAGAAGTTATCAACTGGAATAATGTAAACTCTTAAAAGCCAGTTTGAATTCAAGGTCAATGAAAATAAAAATGAATTATCTCAAATTTTAACTAAGTAACTCAAGTTTGAGAATTTGATTTATAAAAATTCAATTTACATGCAAGTTTTCAATAATGTTGTCTCATACAAAGTGAGTCACAGCAACAGAATAGGGATGACTTTCCTGGTCCCTAAACCAGGATAAGCCGAGGTATCATTACCAGGGAGACTTCTCAGGGAGAAAATCATTATTATTTGCCCGTTAGGTGCCTCCAAGGTTCATATAATGAATTTGTTGAACTTTGCTACAATAGTGATCTCAGTCTAAATTGTGGATACTCTCTGCCTTATCAATATTATTTATGTGGAGAAATGAAAGTGTCTGAAGATCACACTGGTGGAGTAGGAGTGTATTAAAGAGATAGCTAGTATATAACAATAATTTCTGATTAAACCTGAGTAGAGGCTTGCTTTTCTTCTGTTAGAAGATAGGAACTTTTTAAAAAAGAAGCCTTAACTATACTTTCTATGTAGTTCGGGCTGGCTTTGGACTCTCTTTCTAACCCAAGACTGAATTTAAACTCACAGCAATTACCATGCCTCAGTTTCCTAAGTGCTGGGATTATAGGTGTGTACCATCATGCCCAAGGGAACATCATGTTTTATCTGTTCCATGAAAAACTACTCTAAAATATAGTGTGCTGAACAATTCTATTTTATTTTCTGTTGATTTTGAGGTCGGTAATCTAGATACGATTGGGATGAGAGGTTTTTCTGTCCTGTGTGGACTGGCTGGTGCTGGAGCATGAAAAATGGCTTTGCAAGCATGTAGAAACTTCACAGGGAAAGCTGTAAAACTGGGTCTCGTTTGTCTACATGACTCTTTTCACATATAGTGTGGGCCTCTTTCCAAGGTGTCCAGAGCTTAAAAATGAGTGTTTGAAGTGAAAAGGCAAATCCTGGAGAAACTTTAAAAGCCACACTCAGAAGTTATGTAGAGTCACATCTATATTTCAGTGCTCAAAACAAAGCACTGATTTAGCCCAGGTCTCAGGGCAAGAAAATCACATGTGAAATTGATGATGTTGTGGGAGTGTACATTCTACCACAGGCCTGCATGGATTTCTTAGAAAAATCACATGTATTATTCTTTCTAGTTTTCACTGTGACCCTTAGAGAACAGCCAAACTTGGTGCCATGTATCTTCAGAGGAAAGACAGAAACTAACAGACGAAATTGGCACTTACCTGGCGGAACTGTTCCAGGTCAATTTTGTTACCCACCAGCACCAGGGGAATTTCATAGGTGTGACGGACCTGAAAAATGAGCTCTTTAAACTTGGCAGCCTCTTGGAATGATTGGCGGTCTGTGACAGAGTAACAGATGATGAAGCCCTCTCCTCCTCGCATGTATTGCTCCCTCATGGCTGTAAATTCTGCCTGTGAGAAAAGAAAAAAAAATATTTACGGGCCTTTGATGAATAGAAACAGAAATTTAAAATATGTTATTATGAAATTTGAATATTTTACAAGGAGAATATTGATACTCATGGAAGGTTTGATTTGAGATAAATTGAAGTGATGGACTATAAACAGCAAATTTTACTCATGGATTCATGGGGATTATAAATAGATAACATGTTTTTGTCATGTTTAATAACTTACCTTTAGGGAAATGAATTTAAACATGTATCCTAAACATTAAAATTAACTGAACCTGGGCTAGCTATTCTTTACAGTGTATATTTAAGCATTTTCTAACTATGCCTTTGAACTATTTTTAAATAAATCATTGATTAAAAATTTGTATGGTATTAGAATTTAATTTCACTCTGCATGTAAGAGTCAATATATATTGAAAATCTACCACACATAGTCCAAAGCAGAGGGAGAAACAAATTAATTTTCAACTTAAAATCAAAAATAGAGTTAAATATTTATCCTTGACATTTGAAGAAGTTTTAGGTAGCATAGATAATTCCAAAGTGAATTATATATTTGTGTGCTGATAGATTTGTTTCACAGAGGCACAATAACAGCAGGATCTGGACTGCTGAAGGATGGATCACTTTCTACATTCTGTGGTCTTTCTCACCTTTTTCTCTCCCCAATAAGAGCAGCACTACATTACAGATGGTACCAATACCCTACCTAGCAGGCTGACTGTATCAGTCTTTCATGTTGCAAGCCAACTGTAATACAACTTCCCAGCATCTGAAAATTCAGCATTTCAAATTGCAGGCTGAAAAGTTTCTGCAGGTCTGACCTATTTATTTTCGCTTACTCTTTCTCTAAATCTACTCTTCATGTGCAAGGGGTAATTAGATACATGCAATGGGAAATACACAGCTTAGAGCCTGGCTGTGGAACAAGGCACCTTAAGTCATAAGCGAACATGAAAAAGTGTTTCTCTAGGACAAGTTATAAGTAGTCAATGGAAGGAGAGGTTAGATAGGCTTCAGCCACATTTGAAGACTAAAAAATTTGCACTTTTTACCTAATAGAGTACAAGAATTAAAACACATTGAATATGTGTCTAAATACATGTTAATTTGATTTAACATGTTTGAAACACTAGGAGAGTTTAAACAGGTCCAGAAACTTTGGAAAACTGGAAAAGACTCTTATTTACAAGTTCAGAGATTGGTATAAAATTAACAAGTATTGAGTTAGTGAATGAATTTCTTAAATCATTGTCAATAAGTATGAAGTAATTGCCAACAGTATCACTGGGTTCAGTCATTTCAAAGTTACAATAACTGGATGCTAAAGAAGGGTGGAACTTGTCCAAAACCAAACAACCACACAATGTACAGAAGTTTAAAAAATTTATTTTCCTTTACTGATTATATCTGTTTACTTAGGATTCAATTTTACTGTAACTGAATCTTACTATGTGAGTAAAATATACAGATATGGGAGGAAGAAAAGTCTTACAAAATCTGTTACTTCATCCCCAAAAAAGAAGTTAAGGCTGTGCATTATCTGAGGTTGTACATAGTTCTGACAGTTTTCTGATTTTGAAGCTATATACTTCAGTCAGAAATTCACAGTTGATTGAATGAAGATTTATAGATGGAAAAACACTGATGGTGTTGGTGTTACGGTTTGTGCCTCGATGTCCCCCCCAAAGCCTCATGCAGTCATGGGGCAGGCTTCTAGAGTTTTTGATCCATGGTCCAATGCTGGGATTATAGGTGTGAGTGCTACACCTCCCCTGGGGGGCATACAATATAAGGGAGGAAAAGAGGCTTGCTCTTGCCACACCTCTTTTGTGCTCTTGTTGCTTTTGCTGTTTTCCACCAGCATGAATAGCTGCCCTGTACCATGTCCCACTCTGCCTTGGAGCTAGCCAAGTGTAGATTGAAATCTCCACAAACTGTGAGCTAAACAAACCTTCCCTTCCCTAATTTTGGGTGTCAGGCATTTTATCTCAGCAGTGAGAGAAAAGTAACCAAGACAGTTGTTCAAACATATAACTGTATTTTTCAAATGGAAATGATAGACTAAATATGAAAATATATTTGATCTTTAGGAAATTACAAATACAAGTGTTATATCAGTTATGGATGGAGTGTTTTGTTGCTTTCCACTAGTGGCATTATAAAATATAAATAATTCCAATGATTAAAATCATATAAAATGCAAGCTAAATTGGAAAATATCTATTTTGCAGTTTAAAGCTCATTCATTTTCCAGTTATTTTATGCATTAAAAGTCTTTGTTTTAATTGTTTTGTATTTTGAAAATTAACAAGTGCCTACAAAATACTTAAATGATATGGAATTATATAGTTTTAACTGTTCTCTTCATCTCAAAATCCCACACTTTTCCTGAAATACATAATGATTTGTAGTTTATTCTCACAGCAGTATTTGTGTTCATATAAATATGTACATATTCATTCTAAATTTATATATCTTTCTATACTTAAATAGGGACAGAATGTGTATAAATTTTATTTTACCTTTAAATTTTAGTAGCCTTAAAATAACTTAGAACTGATTCCATACAAGCATACGTGCATATTGCTTACTTTTGTCCATTCAGTAATTACTTTTATTCATTTATAACAATATATTTGGGGCTGGGGATTTAGCTCAGTGGCAAAAGCGCCTGCCTGGCAAGTGCAAGGTCATGAGTTCAGTTCCCGGTACCGGAAAAAAAAAAAAAACAATATATTTAAGTACTTGCATACAAATAGGCAGGTAGATGAACTAATATCTATAATAAATAATGACCATGCATATTTTTAACATCCACATTGCAAAGCTCCTGAGAAGGAGACTTGAGGGGTGAAAGATAACATGTATTTTTACTTTTGAGAAACAGTGCCAATTTGAATGCCAAAGACATTTTTTTTTTATCAATAATAATGTTATGGTTGATACACTGTATCAACTTGAGGAATCTAGAGGCTTGGCTAAGTGACTCAGCAGTTCTACATTCTGGGGTCAAAAGGACACACCCTTACTGCTCTAAGATGCTGTACATTATGTCAGTTTTAGAAGTTTAGAAGGTTAACTGAGTGACTTATTAGGGGTCCAGGGTCCTTACTTTGTATACATCCTGAGCCTATGCAACAAGAGGGCATGGAGATTGTGTGAGTGCTACAGGCCCCCTGGGTGGGGGCGGCCTGCATACAACATAAGGGAGGAAAAGAGACTTGTTTCCCCCTTATTGCTCTTGCTGCTGTTGCTGCCTTGTGCCACCTTGAATTGTTGCCCCTGTGCCCTGCCACCCTGACTTCGAGCCAGCTGAGTATAGATTGAAATCTCTACAAACTGTAAGCTAAATAAACTTATCCTTCTTTAATTTTGGGCTTTGGGTATTTTGTGTCAGCAACGAGAGAAAAGTAACCAAGACAAATAGTATTCTGTGTAAGTTTGGCTATTTCTTCTCTTTTTTCCAACACACTTTTAAGCAAATTTGCCCACTTTTGCCAATTTCAGATTTTAAAACAATTGTTTTATTTTTTATTTATTAGCTGTAGAGGATGTCTCCAATTTTCATTATCTGCACATGTATTTCCTTTTATCTGTCGAATTTATCACATCATAAGGAAAGAAGGAATTTCTTTTTCTAACTGGTAATACTTTCGGTGGGGGGAATTTGGATTAGAAAAGACATTTTTTGAGGTATGCAGTTCCAGCATTGTATTTTTAAAGAGCTCCTTGGTTGATTTTATTTACACATACATATAGTAATATGCAATGATGTTTTTGTTTCAAAGTGGTCTCGATGACCTGGAAACAGTAAGAGGGTCCCAGTACATAACTTCTAGGCCTGTAACTCATTTAATCTGTATCTTCTGACAAATCATCTAACAACTCAGAACTTCAATCACCTCCCTTGTCAAACAGGGATTAGGAAACACTTAACTCATCTTATGGGGCTGAAGAAAGAATCAAATAAGAGAACAGATGTGAAAATGCTTTGATGAATTTTTAAAATACAATACAATTTAAGCCTATTATTATCTTTGATACAAATCCGGCAGAACAGAACCTTTCACTGGGAGGGATAAGCATGAAATCCTCTTTGTGCTGCATTAAATATAAATGTAGTGGTATTTCAAATATGTTCATCAGAAAATTATTAAGCTTTCAGAAAGGAGATTCTTTCCACCAGTAAAGCAGATATAAAGAGGCCATCACAACGCATGGGTGGGAGGGAGCATCCTCTCTGCTGACCTTATCCATTACTACTCTCACAAAGCAAATGGGTGTGTGTGTTTTACTTAGAGATAAGCTGGAGCCTGATGGGGGCCAGACAACTGAGCAGAAGCTCTGTAGTTAGACATGAGCTTAATAATATATGACATGGAAATCACTTTATATGGGGAAATGTTATGTTCAACATGTTGCTTCCGTCTTTATTCAGCTATGAATTAAAGATCCCTGTGCTTTATGTTCAATGTATCCTGAATATTAATATCATCTTCACTGGCTTCCTGCTATAAATGAAACTTGTTGGTTAATTATTCAGGAACATTACTAGATTTCATTTGCTATCCATAAGTAGCAAATATCTATGAAATAGACCTACTCTAGAAAATCTACAAATATGAGAATTTCAGAAATCTTCAAAGTTCTGAGTCTAACACCACGGTTTGATCATTTCTCTTTGGTATATGTCCTTATGTTATAATAATGCAAGATTTCTCACTTCTGAAAATAAATAATTTCAGATGAATCTCATATGCTATCTTCTTGGATTAGCACAGTAAATATTTTCGGCACATAACTATGAAAAGGGGACTAATCTGTCTTGTTACATTTGTCTGATAGCACTGTAAGATCTCTTCCTATTCACAAAATTCAGTAGAACTATTGCCAGACCAGCATTTCAACTGTGTTCTGTCTAGTACAAGAGACATGTGTCTATACTTGTAAGAAAGTCTTTACCATAGCTATACCTCCACACTATATGCATTGTCC